TTTCCCGAAAAATTGAAATGGTGGTTAGGATGTCGTCTACTTCAACTTACCTAAGGTCCAACTTGCCACTCTGGAGTTAGATAAGTATAGTACGCGGCGCGAAGCGCCGCGCACACCTTCAATTTACATTCGGAACTACTCACTCCCAGCAGCCGCGGGAAGCAATTTGGACTACATATTTTTCATTTTACACTTGCTTCTTAGATTTTTTTCTCTGCCTATCCTATTTCCCCACCCCCCAAAACTCTATAACCACAGTTTTTGCAAGACAAATGCTGAGTCTAGGGGTATATGATTGAGCCTACATAAGCTAATTTTGCCCAATGTTTAAAATACCTTATTTCCTAAGAAGGTTTACCGAAGTTCTGGACATTATTTCTCAAGAAGCTGACCGTTTGGATCATATTTGGAGACTAACCCAAACATGAAAACTCATTGCCGAGAAAAAAAAGTGCGGAACAATAGCTGGCAATTGATAGGGCTGAACTGAGTTTAGAATACCTTCTATAATACGTTACTACTTTAGGAAAACGCCTCGATCAGATATTTATCTGGTGGATACCTGCGCGTTTTACCTTCTTTGAAGGTTAATTCAAGGTAAAAAGGCGGACGTTCGACTGTTTTTTGAGTTCTCTGAAAACTAGTGAAACATTTCGGACGAAAATGAAAAGAAACACTTTCTCTGTATATTGGAGTGATTTTTGATATACTTTTTTGCTTTTAGGCCCCGTTCTAAGACAAGAAAAACACAACAGTGTGGCCGAATATACACTTAGATTTTTCTAAAACTGCCATTCTTTTGCCCGTTCCGTTTCAATTTTCCGTACTCGTTCATAGTCACCTGCAGTTAGGAGGTTTTTGCACATTTCTCACATACGGAAAGTTACAATATGCTGTGAGTTCTCATATAGATACTTGTTTACCGCCCCAATCATCGGTGTGGTAAAAGATGCTACTGTCGTACAGGTTTTTTGTTATTTTTTATGGCACAAAATGTGGCAAGTTTGCGCACATAGAAGCGGTTTTGATCTGGAGGTTTCAATAACGCAAGAAAATTCTCGGATATTAAGAAACGCCGGATTTATCCTAATTCTAGTCTTCTCTGCCTTCAATAAACAGATCTGAACTGAACACTTCTTCAGTAACTCACTTTATGCATCAAAAATCACTTCAATAAAACAAAATCCTCAACGTCCAGTTTGTACCTTAAATTTTGGTCGCGAAATTTCATGAGTTAGGCAATCTACTGTATGTTGGTTGAAGTTGACTGAATGCAAATCAAACCTTTTGCCTGCGTACTAAACTGGAACAAACTAATTTTAAATATTTTTTCACATGATAAACCATACTGACAGTACGTGCACTAACTTTAAGCAAAGAAACATTGGTCGCCATTATTCTGCTGCTGCTTGACACGGCTGCGAGGGGTTCGGCTCATAAGTGGGTCCCCCAGTATCTCCTGTGTGCTTTTTATCAGATACTCAAGTTTAAAAATGGTTGCTTTTTAGTCTACTCAGCGAGAAATCGACTCAGGTAGTCCAAAATAGCGATTTACTTTAGAGGAGCTTAAAAACAATAAATAACTTCCTTTTGGAGAAATCTCGGCAAAGCTCTTATGATTTTCACCTAAGAATGAATCACATTGCATAACAAAAGATACCTCGTTTCCAGGAGGGCGTAACTTATGGAGGGACAGTATTCAGTGC